TTTTACGATGCCTATTGTGCTACGGAAAATAATCCATAAATTGGAATTGGTTTTTATTCATTTAGTTATTTATTGTTTGCATGCTTGTATATGTTTATTCTTTTGGTGCTTGTGTTTGTTGCCTGAGAAAATTAAGATAAAGAAACTAGGATATTCAATCATATATACTTAGTTTGATGTTTTCTTTATGAAAAATAAGCAAATTATTGTTTGATATCGGGAAATGAAGTTCGAAGTAGCGGAATACTGATAAGTTTAGTAAAAGCTTTCTAAATTTTTCTTGTGGAACTGACTTTTTTTTCTTCTTTTCTTTCTTAATGATTTTTTATTTATCTGTAGCTGCAATTGCGTGTAGAACGCCTTACTAGTCTTGCAAGTTCTGGACCTGTTCGACGTTCGAAAGTGAAGGTATTTTTCTTTTGTAATTCTGTCGTTTCTCTATTCTCATTGTGTTATGTATGCTTTTAGGTGATGATTGTTTGTTCATGCATTTTACATGTTATGCCGACAGGATATGAGTGCTGAGGTGGTAGATAGCAATCCCTACAGTAGGCTTATGGCACTTCAGAGGATGGGTATTGTGGAAAACTATGAAAGAATACGGGACTTCTCAGTTGCCATTGTTGTCTGTATTTATCTCCTCTTTCAATGTTCCTTTTGTTATTGTAGATTTGTTCTTGCCACTGACTTGTAGTGATGTCCTATTTGTTTTTTGTTTTTTTGCAGGGAGTAGGCGGTGTAGGAAGTGTAGCAGCTGAAATGCTAACAAGATGTGGTATTGGTCGCCTTTTGTTGTATGATTATGACAAAGTAGAGTTAGCTAACATGAATAGGTTATTCTTTCGACCAGAGCAGGTATTCATACTTGTTATTCTCATCCGTCATTCTTTCTTTTTGAAATTTTTTATTTACTAGTTTTGTCTCAACCAAGTCATTTAATGCTTCAAAGATTAGATGCTACTGCTTTTAGATTGAACCAAAGTTCTTATTTCTTGCTGTTGTGCTGTTACTTTAATCCAATTTTTTCCGTACCAAACATCATTTTATTTTCCAAGTTTTTCATGATTATACAATTTATAAATTTTCATTCAAATTTGACGTGTTATCCTTTTCAGAGCGGTATGACAAAAACAGATGCTGCTGTACAGACCCTTTCAGACATAAATCCAGATGTTGTGCTTGAGGTAAGCATTTCTCAGGATTTTTCTCTTATCTAACTTGATCACGACTGTTAAAGTTCATTCGTCTTGAATTTTCCATCTACACTTTCTAGGCATAGAAGAATGATAATATGTCAATGCTACTAGTATGGATACTTCTATATTTGATGGTTCCATCTTAGTGCCCATATTTTATAACCATGCTGAACAATTTCTTTGTTCTTAGAGCTATACACTGAACATCACAACAGTGCAAGGTTTTGATACCTTTATGTCCAGTTTAAAAGATAAATCATTCCGCCCAAATAAAGAAGGCAGTGGAGTGGACCTTGTGTTAAGCTGTGTTGATAATTATGAAGCAAGAATGGCTGTTAATCAGGTATGCGGTTATAATTACGTTCTCTTCCTTCTGCTTCCAAGAAAACTGTTGTAATTTTTTTTTTCTTTTTCTGACTGTTATACAGGCTTGCAATGAACTGAATCAGACATGGATGGAATCTGGTAAGCAAAATACTTCCCGTATTTGTATTACCCTAAGTGTAATATTAATTAAAAGACACACTGTGGGTTACATGCATTGAAATGCTGATTGGGTGAGATGAGATCTAATCAGGACCTAAGTGAAGGACACGCATCTTGTCAGATCAGATATAAATGGCTGAAGTTCATGGGATGAGATGCGTGCACCTCAGCTGTATATTCTTTTGTATGTGTATTAGTATTATGTATGTATGAGTCATATGGTCAAGCATACCCGCATTTTTAAGATATACAACTTTATTCTGCATGAGTTTTTCTTAATCAAAGAAGCGTACTTGCTATATCCTGAAAATCATTGTGGTTGTCATCCAATCAATATTTACGGCCTAGTGCATGTCATATACAAAACACATATACTTTTTCTTTTATATGCAATACATGTATACTTTACAAGAAAACTCACTTGAAGAACATAAACATTCAGGTGTGTCTGAGGATGCTGTTTCAGGCCATATTCAGTTGCTGATTCCTGGTGAAACTGCCTGTTTTGCATGTGCACCACCTTTGGTATGATTTTTTGTTTGTTTGTTTGAATTTTAATGATGTTGGAGGATTCTCAGTGAGGAATATGAAACGTGAAGACTTGAAGATTGATATTTATTTCTTCTTGTATATCTCTTTCTTAGGTTGTAGCATCTGGAGTGGATGAACGTACACTTAAGCGGGAAGGGGTTTGTGCTGCATCTTTACCTACTACTATGGTAAAATATCTCTCCCAATCTCTTGGTGGCTCTCCCTTTCTGGGAATTTTATTATTCAGACTTGCTAGTGTTTGTGTCTTACTGGTAGTTTGGTTGAAATCCATGTAAAGTGACCACAGGAATTTGGATGTTGGTACTTATTATTTAAAAGAGAAAGAAAATAAAATTAAAAAACTTGTCATTGTCATCGAATTCAAATGAAGATGATGCTTGGCTTAGTTACTCTGTAGTATTCAGGCTGTGGAGACAATCTATAGTTGCTTGATTGATATGTCAATATTTGATTTGGTATGGATGTTATTCGTATAGCAACTAAATTTGATTTTATTTTTAGGGAGTTGTTGCTGGGCTTCTAGTCCAAAATACACTAAAATACTTGCTGAACTTCGGAAACGTCTCCCCATACTTGGTAAGTCGTATGTTGTATTCTCTCTCATCCTGCTTTTATTTGGCAGAACATCTCAAGGGATTTAGTAATATGTTAAGGTTCAGCATTAAATTGCTTCTTCATTGCAGCATGCTGATCAGCCCGAATTTGGTGTGCTTGATTGCAGGGATATAATTCTCTTAAAGACTTCTTCCCAACCATGGAAATGAAGCCAAACCCTCAGTGTTCAAATTTTGCTTGTCTAGAACGGCAGGGAAAGAAACAAAGATAACGCACTCGTGCACTCAAACTGGATCTAATGATTTTTAGACATTAAAGAAACAAAGATCCCGCACTCGTGCACTCAAACTGGATCTAATGATTTTTAGACATTCTGTTAGTTGGTTTGGCATTGATGCTGAAGACCGTCTCTACTGTGCAGAAAGAATTCTTGCTTGTAAAGCCAGCTAGGGATGCTGCACTTAAAGCAAAGATGGAAGCTGAAGCATCATCATCAGTTACAGAATGTCCACTTCATCTTGATAATGAATGGGAAATAAGGTACTCAAATTACACAGTTACATTAATGCCTAGGCCTTCAAAAAAAAACTGGGCACATTGGGGATATTTTCTCACTTGCATATAAATAGAATGACGTGCATTTTAGAGGAATAGTTTCATGGAAATGAAAGCATACCTATGGCAATCAAACTGTGCCATAGGTTATAAACTGAAAAACATGCATTTTATTGTTTGATTTGTGTTGTTTTTGCAGTGTTGTTGATGATAGCGAGCCGGATAGGATAGAGGCCAAAAGTGCAGGTAATTTATCCTCTAACGTTTCAAGTTCTTAGCAATTAGATGGATTCCACTGGAAAATCTCGCATGTCACTTCTTTTCTCATCGATTTCTGTCTTTTGGTCTCAGATGCTCTACCAGAAGGTCTTGTTCGCGAGCTTCCCAATGCAGATGAGTTCCAAAAATCGCCTACTGAAGCCGCAGATGCTACTATTGATGACCTAGAAGATCTCCGGAAGCAACTTGAGGCCCTTAATTCTTAAATTGTCATATATTTTTTATTTGTAGCCCCCTTTGAAATTGATCTGTAGCTTCATTGTTTCTAACTTTATAGTCGCACCCTGAAGTGAGGGTGTACATGAGGTGGATAATACTAATCTCCATACATGCAAGACAGTTTTCTGAGTGTTGCGGTATCTGGGATTTTTGGTTTAATTCTCAAATTTATAAACCTTGCAATTTAAACTCTTAAAAAATTGTGTTCTTACATTTTCTAATTTTTTTTTTTTGTGAGTTAAAAATGTACTCTTTACATTTTTCAAATTATACAGAGAGTACAGTTCGATAAATTATCTTCTTGAGATGTCATGTGCCGAATGCTCCATGCAAATTGGCAGAAAAAATAGAAAGAAAATAAAAAGGAGAATGGTGTTTTGTCAAAAAAGAAAAAGAAAAAGAGTAAGATAAATAAAAAATATATATTTTTAATTTAAAAATTTATATAGAAGGTAAAAAGAGATAAAACGTCACTTTTGGTCTCTGTGCTTTGTCACTTTTACTATTAAGGTTCATGTGGTTTCAATTTGAATATTTTCGTCCCTGTGGTTTCAATTTGAATCAATTTAAGGACAATTCTCAATTTCTGTCAAATTCTTTTAACTTCTGTTATTTATGGAGGGGTAATTTAGTCAACAAGTTATTAAAAAATTAATTATTTTAAAAATAAACAATACAAAATGGAAAAATTAATAAATAAAAAATATATCTTATGAGCAATGTTGTATTTTGCTTGCACTCAATTTTTTGGGCTGGACTTGAGACAGAGAGATAGATAGGTGGAGTGTCTTGAGAAGTTTTGTGGTGGGAGGGTGATAAGGGTTGGTTGTTGGATGGGTGATATTGGGTAGTGGCTTGTTAGATGGTGGTAATGGTGGCAGGTTGAGGGCACGAGAGTTAAAAAGGAATGAATTTGTTTTATTTATTATTATTTATTTCATTTTGTATTTGTTATTTTAAAAAGGAATGAATTTTTTAATAATTTGACCGAATTACCCCCTCATAAGTAGCGGTAGTTAAAAAAAATTTAACAAAAATTGAGAGTAGTCTTTAAATTGCTTGAAATTAAAACTACATGTATGAAAATGTTCAAATTGAAACTATAGGGCCTTAATGGTAAAAGTGATAAACTTGGTGGAAATAAAAATGACTTTTGCCGAAAAAATAAGGAGAAGAAATTGCATCGTCTACGTGGCGTCTTCCATCGCGCGCAAACCCTACATTGCAAGCGGCTTGGCCGCTTCAGAAATCGAAAAGAACAAAACCTCCCTCAGAACTCCGACTACGCCGCTTCACGTAGTTTGAACTCAGTTCCAAGCTTCCCTCAAAAACTTGTTTTCAGTATTTTCCATTTGATCATTTGAAACCGTTGATTTCCTCCTCTGCAAATTACCAGAAAAGTTAACATAACAAACGAAAATGGCTGCTGTTGAAGAAATAGTAGAGAAAGAGAAAGCTCCCGAAGCGAAAAAAGAAGAAGAGGAAGAAGAAGAAGAAGTGGAAGAAGATGAAGATGAGGAGCTTTGGACATCGGACTCGGACGTCGGAGATGCATTGGACTATTTGGACTCGAGGGACGATGACAGAGGAGTCGACGGTGGTTTCACAATCAATTCTAGGCGTCCCAATGCCCATGGAGGCCTTCACTCTCGCCCTAACTCCTCAACCCTTCAGCCTCTCTCTAATCGCAACCAGAAGTTCACTACCCACATCCGAGCTTCACCTTTGGAGGTACAATTTTGAGAATTTAAAAGTGAATTTCAATTGCTTTTGTTGTTGCTGCTGTAGGGTAATTGAATGCAAAACTTCTTAGCTGAGATGAGCATTTACATTGTTTGGTTCGAATTCTGCTTATTGTTGAAGTTTTTCAGCTTAGAACTGTTAATTTGCTTGTAAAGTTACATTTTTTGAAGCTGGTTTTGCGGTGTAGGAGTGGGAAGGCAGGTTGAATGTTGGCATGTCCAACTCCGTGACAACTGCCATTCGTGGAAGTGTTCGAGATACGGCCATTGGCAGAAAGAGAACTACTGAGAAAGCGGACCGTGCCACTGTTGAGCAGGTGAAAAACAACTTTTTTAATTCGTGGGTTTTCTTTAATCATTCCAACCATGTATTTTAGCTCATTAGTTTCACTGATTGTGTGTTTCACCAGGCCATCGATCCTAGAACTCGGATGGTTTTATTCAAAATGTTGAATAGTGGTACATTTCATGATATCAATGGCTGCATTTCTACCGGGAAAGAAGTACGTGTTGAGTTACTATTATTTTAACCCCTTGACCGGTACATGGTTTTTGCGCTTGTGGGTTCTCATCATGGAATTATTCTTTCTTCTTGAACAGGCAAATGTTTATCATGCAACAAAATCTGATGGCCAGGAAATGGCGATCAAAATATACAAAACATCTATTCTGGTTTTTAAGTAAGTCTTCTGTGACACTTTTAGCTTATTCCATTGACAAATTTGACAGTTTAGCAACTTTAGACCATTATTATGTCAAACACTATAAAAATGAGAAATTTCATTTGGGCATAGCAATCTATAATGTTCATTGCTTACTGTATCTTCTGAAATTAAACTTTCTTTGCTTCATCATGCATTTCTGTATTGATGTTTCTTGTGATTTTTCTTATAATATTCTCTAAATTTTCCTCCTAAAATATTGTCTTTTTATCTTGGATAGTTAAAGATTGGCAAGTTGACCATGCAATCATAGAGCATTTTAGAGAACAGAAAAAAAATGTTTTGCAGTTTCAAGGACTATTCAGTTTGCATTCTGGGTTTTTCCATATATGTGTTTATATTAATAGCTTTATAATATATCTTACTTGTTTGCCGTTCAAACACCTTTAGGGATAGAGATAGATATGTACAAGGAGACTATCGATTCAGACATGGATACTGCAAGAACAATCCTAGGAAAATGGTCAGGACATGGGCTGAGAAAGAAATGAGGAATCTGAAAAGGTAAGACGAACAACATCTTTAATGTACCTTTAATTCTTTGGTCAGTAGCAGCACAAATTCAACCTAGTGCAGATCTGCATATCAGTAATCAACCCCCTCTCTGTCTCTCGCTGTGTCTGTCTGTCTGTCTGTCTCTGTCTCTGTCTCTGTCTCTGTCTCTCTCTCTCTCTCTCTCTCTCTAGCAAGTACATACATGGACAACGGTTTTTAGCTTAAACTTATGAAATTTCTGTTTAAGTCCTAATAAATTAAAATGCCCCGAGTCAATAATCTTATTATCAAGCTGGTTTTGTTCTGCTAATTCATGTAAGATGGTTTATGAAAATGCAGGCTGAGGGAGGACGGAATTAGGTGCCCGGCTATAGTTTCTTTAAAGCTTCATGTTCTGGTTATGGAATTCATAGGTATGTTCTCCTACTTTTAATGAACATTTATTCTGACAGAATTGACAATACCACTTGATTTGTTCATATAAAAAATGAGAGGATAAGATCAACTTGTTTGGCTATTAACTTCTTACTTGTGAGTTGTGACCATGCATAATCTACCTTCACCTTCTTCTTCTTCTTCGTTTTTGGTTTTTGTTTTTGTTTTTCCAGTAACAGTATTTGCTAGTTAGAGTAACCTTGGTTCATGTATTCTATTACAGGGAAGTCAGGATGGGCAGCACCTCGTCTGAAGGATGCAGCATTATCCCTAGACAAGCTACGAGAAGGTTATATTGAGGTGCAAACAAATCCTTGGTGACATAATTTTTTGTGATAATAATTAATTACAATAACAGACCTTATTGGCTAAGATAGTTCTGTTGGGACAGATGTAACTGGCCTTGAAAGCTCTCTGGTAGTTTAATTTGTTGCTAGTCTTAGTGAGGCTCCTTGTGGAAGTCCAGCCCACTTGAAGACAAACTTTTGGATCTGTTTCTGAATTGTATACACGTGATTTTATAATTTGGATCGATCAGGTTGGAGGAGCCAGAATAGTGTTCATTGGGAATAGTGTAGTTTTATAACATGTTGAATTCTTGCTTGCTGGTCTATGGCTTTTATATGAATTTATTTTAGGCTTGAAAACGTTGTGTATTTGATATATTGTTTTTGTTACTGGAGTGATGTCGTAGTGATTCTCTGCCAGATGATTATTGCTATGCGAATGATGTATCAGAAGTCCAAACTGGTGCATGGAGACCTTAGTGAATACAACATACTTTACTTTGAGGTGAGTTGCAATGAACCACTTTGAAGTTTGAACTCCTTGGACACGATAGCGTGTGATGTTAATATGTCTTCCCTTCCTCTTTGGCAGGGCCACTTGTACATTATCGACGTTTCTCAATCAGTTGAGCTGGACCACCCTCATGCCCTTGATTTCCTACGTGAAGATTGTGTCCATGTATCTGTAAGTTCTTTGCACCCAAGTGACTTTCTTTAGATCTGTTTCCATTGTTTATGAAAAGTACAAGTAATGCATTCAGTGCTATGGGCTTATCAAGCATTTTGTGGCCCACAGGATTTCTTTAAAAAGAATGGTGTAGCTGTTATGACAATTCGAGAGCTCTTTGATTTTATAGTTGATCCATCTATTGCTGATGATGCGGTGGACAGTTATCTGGATATGGTTTGGTTCCTTCCTTTTTGGTCTCAAATACGAAAGAACTTAGGTTCCCATAAAGAAATAAGTAAATAACTAAAGAACTTAATAAGATCTCTGTTTGACTGTGTTTGACTTCAGGTACAACAAAAAGTTATTGCAAGAGGAGATATGACTGCAGAGGATGAAATTGCAGACTCTGTATTTGTGCAGGTGATGACAATGTAACTGTGTTTATTGACTTGCTTTGACTGACATCCGGTATTTGCGTAATTGTGGGTACCAAAATTTGTGTGGTATTCATTTGCTTTTCTTTTCTTCTTTCCAGTCATACATTCCAAAGACATTAGACAGCGTGAAGAATGTTGAGGAGGATGTAATACGGTTAACTAGTGGCGGGGACACTGGAGACATGTACTATAAAACTATTACAGGACTGAAGCAGGCTCTCCCCGAATGCCAGTCAGTTCCATCTGAGAAGGAGCCGCAACAGGACGCTAATGCTGTAGCAAAGTCCTCTGTCAATCCAGTTGGTCATTCTGAAAATCCCGAGACTGAATCTGACTCCAATAGGGATGACGAAGACTCAAGTGACTCGGAAGGCCGGAGTTCCTCATCCGAGACAAAGGCACAGGATCCTCTTGATAAGAAAGCTGCTAGAAAAGAGAACAAGAAAAAAGTCAAGGAAGAAAAGAGGGAAGCTCGGAAAACTAAAGTGCCAAAGGCTTTAAAGAAAAGAAAGAAAAAGATGGCCAAAGCCCACAAGACCAGATAGCTGCTTGGGATTAACCATAGAGCAATGGATGCAAGCTATTGTAGAAAGCATTCCAGAAAAGTTTTGTTAGACATTAATTTAAAAGAAAATTGCATTATTTTGTCTAAGAATTACAACATTTACTTTGATATATGAGAAATATAAGCTTTCTTTTTGTGCTTGCAGGTCATCATGTTGCAACATAAATAAATAAATAAATAAATAAAGGGAAAAAAGGTAGATAAAATTTAAATACGAGTAAAAACCAAGACCAAGAAAATATTATTAGCAAAAAGAAATTAATAAGAAAAAATATAACAGTAACTGAAACTAAACGTCACAGTTTCGTCTTACAAAACAAAACATCTGAAAAACTACGTCGTTTATATCGCCGTTTCTAATTGTATACAGTCACAGAGAAAGGAGAATTTATCAAAAATAGCCCAAACTTGACCCTTAATTTCAAAAATGTCAATTTTTGCAAAATATTTCAAATATAGCAAAAAACTCACATAAATAGACACAAATGCCCTCAAATTTAAAATCCACATAAACCTAAAAAAGAAAACTCTATTAGATTGAGAATCTTTATACATATGTTTGCATACGCATTGCTGCCTTAGTCAAACAGTGAGTGCAATTCTTCCTTGATTCTTCGTTCAGTGTCTTCTTCGTTTAATCTTCATACTAAATTATATTACATATAGGGCATACATCCAAAAACCATTGAAAAACAACAATTTTTTGTTGGTGAATTACGTTTTTATAATGGGAGTTTCACTAAAACACCCAAAATGGGAGCTGAAATTATAAAAAAACCCAACACCTAAAACACTTTATAAACACACCCAAAACCCATCATTACATACACTCAAAACTCATTTATAAACACACCCAAAAAATATACAATTGTTGACTTTGAAGTTGATTTTGAGTGTGTTTTTATGTTTAAATAGTGTTTGAGTTTTTTTATAAAGGCTAAATTATTGAAATGCCCCCTGTAACTCAATTTCAGTCTCAGTTTCCCCCTTGAAACACTAAATGTCTCACTTTCCCCCCTGAAACTCCATTTATTGTCTCACTTTGCCTAGATTCCATCTAGCCCTAACAGAAGTCGTCAAATCTTAACCCGCCAGTACTGTCTCTCATCGTCCTCTTAGTTCTCTCTCTCTCTCCTCCGCCCTCCCTACCCAAACCCTCGTCAACGCCGCCAAAATCCTTTCATATTTCAACTGCACATCCATGGCTCTGACCCTCGACCTCGCCTCTCAAAACTTGCTCCTTTCCCAATCTCCTTCTCTCACCATCTTTGCCCCTACCGACACCGCCTTCTCTCTCTAATGCCTCAAGTCCCTGCCTTTCAGAGCCAAGATCTCAACTTTACTCTCTGACAACTCTCTCTCCTTCACCACTTTGGCCTACAACCCCAGAGTCTCACTCAACAACATCCCCATCATTGTTTCCCTAATTTTCGATGATGGGTCGTTGATAATTTTCGGAATTGACAGGTTCTTGGAATGCACTGAGGTCGAAGAGTGCTCCGTTATGGCTTCGCTTCTTGATGACTGTGTTTGCTCCATTTGACCAAGTCTTGATGAACTGAGTTGGGAACTTGAGCGAGCAATCCTCCACCTTTCATCGCCATGTGGTGCCTACGAGCTTTTGTGGAGCGATTTGGTGAGTTTCAATGATGGGACGGTGTTGAGGACTAATCTAATAGGGTGCCACATAGAACAGATCGACTGTGGCTCCGTTTTGGCAGGGAAAGAAGAACCTGAAAAACTACACATGAGCCTCACATGTGCAAGTTTGACGACTTCTGTTAGGGCTAGATGGAATCTAGGCAAAGTGAGACAATATATGGAGTTTCAGGGGGGAAAGTGGGACACTTAGAGTTTCAGGGGGGGAACTGAGACTGAAATTGAGTTACAGGGGGTATTTCTATAATTTAGCCTTTTATAAATACATGTCTAGGATTGAGTTTATTTATAAATTTGTATTTTAAAATTAAGGAGGAAGTTTTGGCAAAAATCGCAGCAATGTCAGCTTCTGCTTAAATTAAAAACTATTCTTCTTCTTCTTCTCCTACGCGGGACGCAAAATGTCGAACTCCGCAGAGCAAAACCTAGCAATAGTAGCAGCAGCAACTGAAGGAGAAGAAGCGGAACAGCGAGTTTCTGATAACGACAACACCAGCGAGCAATCCCAAGAATGGGAGACCATGGCTCGAGCTTGGCTCTGCTCGTTCCCCGAGGCCAAAGCTGTGTCCATGGACGAGGTCGAAGCCTGGATCGACTCCAACTTTGACTTCATCCCAGAAGGCATCAAATCCATGCCTCGCCCTGACCTCTGTCAGCGCCTTATTTCCATTCAGAATTGCATGAGACTCCCTAATCAGGTCCTCATTCTTTAATTCTGTTTTAATTTTGGTAATTATTAGGTTTCAGCCATTTCCCTTTTTTTTTTTTCTTCTCTGTTAAAGGTGGAATCTTTGTGTAACTAAGCTAACTGGGATTAAAAAGATGAAATTTTGGGGGCAATAACTTCATGTACTGTAAATTATGAGGAAGTGAACATAGTGGTTTGCTTAAAGTTGTAGGTGGGTTCTGGAAATTAACAAAACATTTGAGGTTGTGGGTAGAATTTAAATTATCTATCATTTGGGAAGTAAACCATTAAGGTTTGGATTGAAAGTGTCATTTAATTTGAATTTTGTTTTCAGTTTTAGGTTGATGCTCTTTTCACATAATGCATAAGTTCTGACATGATTTCTATAATATTAAATGGCAGGAAGAAAAGGAAGAAAACCAAGGTGATATCCCACATGCTCGATTCCAACGAACTGATCAATGGAGACCGGTTTATATTTGGTTGGAATCTTTGGATAAAGATGAGGTGGTTAAGTCCAAAGATATATCTGACTGGCTAACTGAGAATCCAGATATTCAAGAACAGTTGTGCTCTAGGCATTCTCGGTATCATTTGATGCATTACATCAAGAAGTGCCATATGAAGATACTAAAGAGGCGGGAAAAGAAGAAGGTATTGAATACTTCTTGTTTTAGCTCAATTAGCCTAGAAATTTTCAAGCGTCTGTCTGAAGATGCAGATGCTTCCTCAATTTGGACCACATCAGTAAGATTTTTTATTTTTTTATTGTCTCAGAAGCTTTTCTTCCTTGTAACTGTGGCCTAAAAGTTCATTATCTCTGTTAAACTTGGTTACCATTGGCTTCGTTCATTGTTGATGTCTTACTTGACGATCTTGGGAAGCATTATGTAGTTGATACATCAACTATAAGCTTCAAGTTGGTGGATGTTATGTGTCTCTTTATGCTAGATGAATAAATTACATAAGTTGTTCTTGTTGAACAGGGCGTCCAGCAGCCTGACACACCAGCCCCTCTAAAGGTTCACAAAGATGTGTTGATGAAACAGCCAGCTCAGCTGCCATGTAAGGACCATCTATAGAGCTATGCTTTATAATTTAGGGGATATTTGAATTCCATTCTAAATGGAATGACCAGTGTGCTTTTGCCGTTTTGGCCATTCTCTAGTTTGGCTGCTTTATAGAGAATGGAGCCATCACCTAAAATAAACAAAAATAAAATAAGATTGAATTCCAGGAAGTTTTGAGACTGAAAACTGTTTTAAGGAACAGAATAAACTCAATTTGAAGGCTATAATATAAGTAGCCATATGGACTATTTTAACTGCTCTGTTACATGTTGCATTTTTTCTTCTTGACAAAATTCTGTTGGTTCAACCTGCTTCCCAGCTCCACTCTCTGTTTGCAATTCATTGATCAATGTACCAAAAGATAGTGATGTATATTTGACAAAACGAAAGGAAGCACTTCAGAAATACGAGATGTAAGTCAACAATTGATGTATTGTGTCATTTTATGCTCCAGATTTGCGTACTAATTAGGTTCACGTGGTTTCAGCTTAGCGGAGTTGGAGAAGCTGCTTGCCCCCACCTTTTTAAAACGTGAAGATGGAAACAAATGAAGGGATTTTGAAACACCGAACTTGTATCTGTGTCCTGCCTGCATGTTCGTGATTCTGTAATGTAGCAGGTGCTTTGCTGATTGGTTATAAGTTTTGGCTTTTAACTGATCCAAATTATATTTCTCTTTAGGAAAAGCCAGAGCTTCTATCTGTAAAGCAAGCTTTGCATAAGCTGATTTTTAAACTAATTTCCTTGTAATCTTACCAGTACTTCTCCTAGATAAATGAATCATTAACCTTTATAGACACTGACTTTCAATTTCGTAGATGGAAGCGTTTTGAACCGTTTCTGTTAAACCATGAGACACGCGAGAGGCTAAGAATTATGAACGTGAAACAAAATTGGTGTGTCAGCATATTACAAACTATGCTTTGGTCAATCTATCTATTCAAATGAATGGACTAAGCATACTGAGATATGCCTTGGTTGTTATACAAAAACAGCATATGTCAGGTCATTCGGCTATCGTGTACTGCAAGATTATAAGAATACTTAATTAGCAATGACGTTATCTGGAAATTTTATAATTCTAATTTGTAGTTAAAATTTTTGCGTTACCCTAAACAGTAAGAAATAGGAGGGAAAGGATCTTTGAAGGCAAATGCAAATGCATTGGAAGATCACCACAAATACAATATTGGGAACCTTGCTTATGTATTTGAGCGCTCTCACATGTCACTGCCTTAACAAGAAAGTCAACAGCAAGGCGGCATCTCTCAAGTCAGTAGAACGAGAATTTTCAATTGTAAATGAGAAGACATAATGGCATCAACATATTACGCAAGTAGCCGGTCAAAGGTTGACAATTCAGCAAAGACTGGAAGAAGAAAAAAATTATCAAAGAGTTAGAGACAAATTTGGTTGGCCTGCTATAAGATATGGCTGAGACATCAATGCTAAACATTGGGGTTTATTCATTTTGGACACAGATTATGAGCGTTCCAAAACCACAGATGGAGGAGGGCTTCAGCTTCTTGTCCCTGAAAGTTGTGTTGCTATTGGTTCTCTTAGTGCAGTTTACAGTTGCTGACAGTCACCATAAGCATGCTGGTGATGGGGTGCAGCCACTGTCCAAGATTCAAATCCACAGAGCCGTTTACGAGCTTCACGAAAATGCTTCCGTCAAAGCATACCCTGTCCTTCTTGGCACCAAGGTAATCACCAACCTGCTTCTCTTCACCATTAGCCAGAATATTTTGTTGCTTTGGATGAAACAGGATTTTGGCTGAAAAATATAAGATGGTGTATGTTTCAATTTATGTGCAGGGGGAAGATTCTCAGTGGGTAACTGTTGAAGTGGCAAGTCCTAAGCCTTCTGAAGATGATTGGTTGGCAGTATTTTCTCCTGCAAATTTCAAGTAATGTTCATCTTGGTAACTCTTAATTGTTTCATATAGGGCCACCATTTTGCATATCACTGATGTTTGCTGCATAATCTTTTATGGCAGCTCATCGACCTGTCCATCTACCGACGATAGGCAAGAGACTCCAAATATATGCTCAGCTCCAATAAAGGTTTGTGCTATTGCAATATACTTCTCTCTTGGAATTTGATAAAATTATAGCTCGTAACATATATGCTCTAACCAACCATTGTCGTACTGAGATCTTGTTGCTCTCATTTCAGTACAGATTTGCCAATGATTCCAATGCTGATTATGTGAAGACAGGCGAAGCATCTCTAAAATTTCAATTGATCAATCAACGTGCAGATTTTTCGTTCGCGTTATTCTCAGGCGGGCTGTTTAGCGTGTGTTCATGTCCCTTCTCTTTCAGCTTGCTTCCTATAATATTTAAATGTCACTGTTTTAAAATTTCAGCTACTGGGTTGCTTAGTACTTATAATATTTAAATATCACTGTTTCAAAATTTCAGCTAATTGGGTGCTTATGGAAACACTAAGGGCACTACAAGTGCTGTCAATCTAAATATGTTTTCGTGAAATGCAGCCAAAACTGTTGGCAGTTTCTAATGCTGTAAGTTTCGTGAATCTGAATGCACCCCTTTACCCACGTCTTGCTCAAGGGAAGTACTGGGATGAAGTAAGTTTATGTTATTATGATTCAGTACTTTTCTTTTTCATGGAGTTGTGGATGTGGATTCCCAAGCCTGAGACAGAATCTCTATATGCCTTCTATATGTGAAACCAAGTTTCTAAAAAGTTTTCTTGCAATCTTTTGCAGATGACAGTAACCTGGACAAGCGGCTACAACATTATTGAAGCTGTACCTTTTGTTGAGTGGGGTCTTAAGGGAGAAGCTCAAATTCAATCTCCCGCAGGAACATTGACTTTTCATCGAGAAAGCATGTGTGGTATGGATCCTATGATCAATTTAATTTGAACAGCAAGGCCAACTGAATCAATTCTGAACTATGAACTTGGAATATTGTCACATACATGCCAGATAAATAAATGTAACAGGGTTCTTGTAATTTGCAGCTCCACCAGCTCGAACAGTAGGTTGGCGTGATCCTGGTTTCTTCCACACAAGTTTTCTAAAAAATTTGTGGCCAAATTCATTGTATGCATCTTGAACTTTAGGTTTTAAATTTTAAAATGAACTATAAAGAAGATCATGGCAGATAGTTGTTTTGTTCTTGAGGCTGTTCTGGTGACTGTCTTATTTAGGTACACATACAAGCTTGGTCACAGGTTATCTAACGGTTCCAATATCTGGAGCAAGTCCTACCATTTCAAGTCATCACCATATCCAGGACAGGACTCATTACAGCGTGTCGTTATATTCGGTGACATGGGAAAGGTAAGATCAAGCAAATGAGAACTATATATGAAAATTATACCGATTCACACTCACACATGTCACGCATCGTTGCGTAATGTTTAATTTGTACAAATAATTGCTGGGATGTTTATATTTGTACCGAAAATTTCAGGCTGAGCGTGATGGTTCGAATGAATACAATGCCTACCAGCCGGGTTCACTAAATACCACAGATCAACTGATCAAGGACTTGGATAAAATTGACATAGTTTTTCACATAGGAGACATTGCCTATGCCAATGGATACATCTCACAGTGGGACCAGTTTACATCGCAGGTGGAGCCTATTGCATCAGTTGTGCCATATATGATTGCAAGGTTTGCAGATGCTTGCTTTTATCCATACTGATCTGCATGTGTATACTAGTGTTTGATGTATGATTTCACATTTTCCGCTCATAAAAACTTACATGAAGTGTTCCAACAGTGGAAATCATGAACGAGATGTCCCAGGGACCGGATCCTTCTATGACGGTAATGATTCTGGTGGCGAATGTGGTGTGCTAGCTGAGACTATGTTTTATGTTCCAGCTGAAAACAGAGCTAAGTTCTGGTAGATATCAATGCTTCTATGAACTTGGCTAATTTAGCAAATTTTGGAAAAATAACATGTTAAGTTCGATATATATACATATATATACTAATCCCCTTATGAAAATCATATTGTGAGTGTTCCTTCCTTACAGGTATTCAACAGATTATGGTATGTTCCACTTCTGTATAGCTGACAGTGAGCATGATTGGAGGGAAGGCTCTGAGCAGTACAAATTCATTGAGAAATGCCTTGCATCTGCAGACAGGCAGAAACAGCCTTGGCTGATATTCGTCGCTCACCGTGTTCTTGGTTATACATCCTCTTCCTGGCGAGATGGCTCATTTGGTGAGCCCATGGGAAGGGAAAGCTTGCAAAAGCTTTGGCAAAAGTACAAGGTGGACATTGCATTTTTTGGCCATGTCCATAACTACGAAAGAACATGCCCCATTTACCAGGTATGGAAAAGATCATAGTATTACTATTTACTGAGACATTTCACTATGTTCCACACGAGTTTAAATAATTTTCTCAGTTACTATTCTGATGACCCAATATTTCGTCATCAACGTCGATATGTTGCAGAATCAGTGTGTAAATACAGAAAAATCGCATTATTCGGGAACCGTCAATGGAACAATCCATGTTGTTGTTGGTGGAGGAGGCAGCCACTTAACAGATTCTGGTCCAGTGCAGACAACTTGGAGCCTCTTCAGAGATTCTGACTTTGGCTTTGTAAAACTTACGGCATTTAACCACTCGTCGCTTCTCTTGGAGTACAAGAAAAGCAGTGATGGGAAGGTCTATGATTCCTTCACAATCTCAAGGGACTACAGGGATGTCTTGGCATGCGTTCATGATGGCTGTGAACCAACAACTTTAGCTACATGATCGATCAATTTATGCGTTCTTGACAGGAAATTGGCTTTAATTACAATTGTATAATACAAAATATAAATCTTCTCAAATTATTTCTACATGGACCTTATTACAAAAATGTCTTGTTCTTGTCACTCCCCCATAATGCCCATCTTATCATTCTGCATTATAAAGGAAGAGCTTGTGTTTCCGTTGTAAACTAAAACTACAATGAATATTTACATCTCTATGTATCAAGCAAAATGCTCTTATGGTTAAATTTTCAAATACGCCTTTTGACCTTGATGAGATTGTCATTTGAGGGGAATTATAGTGTTGTAAGGCAATACAACAACGTGGTATAACTTGTTCACGTGTTATAATATAAGTGGATATTTATTGATACTACTCATATTACAACATGTGTACAAGCTATACCACGTGAATGTACTCCAATACCATTCTATAATTTCTCGTCATTTGAAGGCTGTGTCGGAAGTAGAACATTATGTCCAAATGGGAAAAATAGTTTCATGTATCTCCTTCCACTGGTTACAGTCGTCCTACAGCCGAAGAAAAAACATTTCCAAATGATACTTCTCTTGAGAGTAAAAAAGAACCAGGTTGCCAGCACTTTACTCCTTACGGGCCGACCCGGTGTGAACGGGGATTAGTCTAGGTTGTGGTTAAGGCTTAAAGGTGCCATCCATAGTTGGAGCCCATTCAGGACCACCTCGTGGTTCAGACCAAAAAAAAGAAAAAAAGAACCAGGTTTATTTATTTATAATTTTATCAGGCTTGGGTCAGAAATTGTGTGGGACTCAAATCAATGTCTCAAATGGTACATTGAGTGAAAGATCAGTTGTACTAAAAGTTTTTATTATTTTCTTTCTCGAGCATCAGAAAAGATGAAAATAATAACAGCGAAGAACGGTCATATAAAGTTTTTTGTCTCAGCACATTGGTAATTATGTTTATATATATATAAATTTTTTACCACAGTCGTGAGTATTTTCTCACATTACTTTTAATTTCAAGGACAGAGTATGTGTTAACCTACTGAAGAGGATCATCCTATTCCTATAGAATATGCTGTGATCAAATTTATCCTAATCACGTGCTTTTGCACTGATAATATTCTTTTGCACTGACATTTGCATTAAAAAAATTTCTCCATATGAAGATATCACGAATTCATAATTCAAAAAAATATATCTGAAATAAATAATAAAATCATGCAAATCGTGTGACCCTTACATTATGTTTCTTTCAATCGCATTTTGTCGCCCAATAAGAAAAGAAACGATAAGATATTTGGATATGCGAATCTCGAAGATTGGGCCTTTGACCCAAATAAATTACTATGTCGGTCAATAAGCTCTCGCTTGTCACGTGTACGAAAACGTGGGCCCATATTCATTTATTCATGTAGGCCCCATATTCTCTTTTTATTTTTATTCCTAGTATTCTTTTCCTTCTCTGTGAAACAGCTTTTGCCAAAGCATCAAAACTAATTATAGCAAGGGGAACAAAAGCTGAATAAAAGAAGTTGAAAAAATTGTGGCTGCAAGAAATTTGGGAATATGTATGCAATCTTTTTTTTTTTTTTTTTTTTTTTCACTACGACTCTATGAGGGAAGATTTTATTAATTATCAATGGAAAAAAAGAGGGGACTTGGCGCCTTACTCGATTACAAACATCAAAAATCAAGGTGTCGTGAGTAATACCTGTGAACATAAAACTAAAGTTACTAAACCCATATATTGTGGTCTTTTACCAAGGGTCTTTCCTTCTTTAGCGATACATTGCGTTGGAGAGGGGGCACTTTTCATGCGGATTCGAACGGGTGACCAAGGGGAGAATGGGGAGCAACCTCACCACTGAGGTAAAGTGAGCATTTTTGCTCACCACATTAACTATATGTGTATTCTCTCTCTTATTTTTTTCATCCTTTAAAAATGGCGATTAGCATCCACCTTTAAGATATAAAAACCCTCGGGTCTAACAGGGGTTCTTATATATTCAATGGTACTGCCAATCTTTGGAAGATCATCACAAATAATATAAATAAGTCCTCAATTTTCACATGGTTGTTGAGAAATTACACAGTATGGCAACAGAGTGGGCCACATGTTTTGAAATAACCAAAACAAAAGTACGAAACTTATTAGACCGCAAGAAATGAATACTGAAAGAGTGATTAGACATTTTAATTGCTAAAAACGCAAGAAATGAAGAAGTAAACACGTTCATGCAATTATTAAACTAATGGTACCGTCCAAAAAAAGAATTTTAAAAGAAAAAAATGATATTAAATTGATAATAATTCATGGTAGACCGAGCAAGAGCCATCTTTCCAGCAAAGACTGATAAAGAGTGATTAGACACTCTGAATCCTCTGTTGGGTTGGCCTGCAATGAAATTATATATAAATGCAGAGCTTCAGTATGTCCATTCCAAAACCAGAGATGGAGAGGTTCAGCTTATTGTCCCTGAAAGCTGCACTGATATTGGTTTTCTTCGTGCATTTCACAGTAGCTCATAATGTCAAGAGGCATGGAGGGGCAGGTGATGGGGTGCAGCCACTGTCCAAGATTCAAATCCACAAAACCATCGATGCGACTCACGAAAATGCATCCGTCCGCGCATACCCTGTCCTCCTCGGCACCACAGTAAGATCAACTATTTCTTGAGTATCGCTATTTATACCACATTTATTGTTCACCAACTTGATAACCAATCTCTCTAATACAAAGTTTTATTGTTAATAATTTTGGCTCACTTCTGTGTGCAGGGCAAAGAATATGAATGGGTAACTGTGAATGTTGTTAGTCCTAATCCTTCTTCAGATGATTGGTTGGGAGTCTTTTCTCCAGCAAAATTCAAGTAAAGTCCACTTTTGTGACTCTGATATGAAGTTCTTTTTGGAAAAATACTATGATATGGAGTTCATAGCTGCTTTCCCGGGTTAATCATTTTATTAATCCCTGAATTTAGATCCAATTTGCATTTGAGTTCCTCAATCTCCAAAATGGTTCTCGTGGTTCTTTAACTTCAATTTCGTTAAGACAAATGATATTGCCGTCAATTTTGTAATGCAGGGACAAAATGGTATTTTTGTATCAAAATTGATTAAAATATGAATAAAAAATTAAAATTAAACTCTCCTTCTTCCCCTCTATCCTGATTTCTCTACTCCCTCCAAACTTTTTTATTTATTTTATATATATATTTAAAGATATGATTTTTATTCTTTTTTTTTTGTTTTAATATAAAAATACCATTTTGCCTCTGCATTTAACAGAAAAAGTTAACAAAATTGACGACATGACCATTTGTGCAAACGAAACTAAAGTTAAAGGATCAAGAGAACCATTTTAGAAATTGAAGTACTTAAATGTAAATCCGGTCAAAGTTCAGGGACTAATAAAACGATTAACTCCTGCTTTTCCCTTTGCGTGTATACTGTGCTGAGTCAACTTACAGAGGCTTTCGGAAAAATAAAAAAAAAAAACTTACAGAGGCTTAGTTTCAGCCGTTGGGGTTGAGATTAAATGTCATTTCAGTTCAATAGTCCAGTATTATGAACCGTTGGATGAAACATAACTCATTTCATATGCTTGGGTTTGCTGGGTTTGTAGATCTGGGCCTCTGTTTGTGTGTTTCTACTTTTGTTTATGGTTTTGGGCCTCGCTGGCTATGGATCAAGGTAAGTTTCCGCTCTTGTTACAAAAGAAAAGATAAAAGCCACACCTCCCTCTCACTGTTTTTTTTTTTTCTGGTTTAGAGGAGATGGGGAAGTATTATTTTGGGGTTGGGAGGAGAAATTCAAGATTATCTCCTACGTGAATTGAATTCGGGTGCATTGGGGGAAGGAGGAGAGTTTGTCCCACTGTGGTGCCACACCTCTCACCCTTTGACAGAGAAAACAAATGTTGATGCCTTTCCACTTTTCTTTTGGCCTTTTAATTCCGTACTTTTTTTCTTTCTTTTGGTTTGTTTAATGTTTTGTTGGTCCATTTCGTAACAATAAGCATTTGGATCCAATATATGATTCTCTAATAGACTTTTCAAATCATCAAAGTTGCAGTATTTTTTTTTGGTTTTGTTTCCTATCCATTTCAAAGAAAAGCTTATAGATTAATTAAAGAAGTGAATCTGTTGTGGCAGCGCATCGACCTGTCCATACACTGAAGACTATTATGAGCCATATCTATGCTCAGCTCCTATAAAGGTATTTGTATATGTTGTGTTATTTGGCTTGTTGCAATATATGCTCTAACCATTAACTCAAATCTTCTTGTTCTCGTTACTTGCAGTACAAGTATGCCAATTATTCCAATGCTAATTATAACAAGACAGGCAAAACCATTTTGAAATTCCGATTGATCAACCAACGGGCAGATTTTGCATTTGCATTGTTCTCCGGTGGCCTGTCAAGCGTGAGTCTCCATGTCCATGTCTCCTCTGTTTCAGATAATCTGCTGCTTCAAACAGTATTTTATATCACTTGTGTTTCAATTCATCATATGCTGATACATGTTCGTGTAATGCAGCCAAAATTGGTGGCAATTTCTAATGCTATAGTTTTTGCGAATCCGAAGGCACCTCTTTACCCTCGTCTTGCTCTAGCCAAGAACTGGGATGAAGTAAGTTTTTGTGTTAATTATGATTTAGAAGTACTTTTCTTTCATGCCTTAAAAGTTTCTTGTATGAAATGTTATCCCAAATAAGCAAACCAAGTTTCTAAAAAGTGTTGTTTTACTCTTTTGCAGATGACAGTAACATGGACAAGCGGCTATGACATTAGCGAAGCTGTACCTTTTGTTGAGTGGGGTCTCAAGGGAGAAGCTCAAGTTCGATCTCCAGCAGGAACATTGACATTTCCTCGAGGAAGCATGTGTGGTATGGATCGTATGATCAAAATCTAATTTGAACAGAAATGCCAATTGAGTCTATTTGTAATGAACTTCTTCTTGTGATTTGCAGCTGAACCAGCACGAACAGTTGGTTGGCGTGATCCTGGTTTCTTCCACACCAGTTTTTTAAAGAATTTGTGGCCTAACTCAAAGTATGCAGCTTGAAAATTATCGTTGCATTCTTGTCTTACAAGGAACTATGATGATCAGGAGAGAAGAGACAGCTATACTGTCCTTAAGGATTTAGCACTGATTGATTGTTTATGATTGTTTATGTAGGTACACTTACAAGCTTGGTCATAGGTTATACAATGGTTCCTATATCTGGAGCAAATCCTATGCTTTTACAGCACCACCATATCCAGGGC